AGCACCGTCAATGGGAGGTGTCTATAACTTTCAGTCGGCAAGTTCAGGAATATCACATCTCGCGGATTCATATCGTAAAGCCGGCGTTTCAACCAAACTTTGCTAATAAGACTGTTCTGTGGCCTTGGCCATCGGTTAGTCTTTCCACGTTCCTAAACTTTCCAAGAAAGGAACCAAAAATCGTCTCTTCTTGGTGTGGTCTCTTAGCCGACATAGCTGTATCCGTAACAATCTGAATTTCGAAAAATTATACCCGTTCCGTTCAGAGGCCTGTGGCACGCCAGTGAGAAATAAATAAATTAATACTAAATCCTCGTGTGAAAGACAGGCTTCATTTCGCCTCGAATTTATCTGTAAAGTTATCTCCGACATGAGTTGATGATGGAGCGAAGGTTAATGGCCAGAAACTATCCTAGTTGAACACTGGAAATCCCAGTTTGTACGATATGTGGAACTTGGTGGTGACCGATGGAAAACAATGTGTCACTTGGAACCTGAGTATCCTGTTGTGGACTCATTCCTCTTCATCAGGAATGTTAGGTGAGTCCAATATATATTTAGTGCGATTCAGGTCTTAGTACACTCAGAAACCACCACGACTTCGACTAGCATTTTTGCTCACATTTTTTATGCAACCAAGCTGAGTAACTGATGAGGCATCTCATTCAGCTAACTATAGATGGACTGTCAAATAGCATCACTGGCCTTCATGACGACGCAGTGATGGTCCACTCTACCTCCCTCCTCCCCGCATCCCGAACCGCTCAGCTCAGCGAACAAACCAGTTGACGCCTAGGCAATCTGTAATGTCAACACTCTCCACAAGAACAGTCAAACAAGCTTATTCGCTGGAGACCGGAAAACATTATTAAGCCAACTAAACAGGCCAAATATGGGTCACAACGTTTATAGAGCACTTAGGGTATCGTCAAGCCCATTGGAACAGGTCTTTACTGACCGGCAGCCAGACCTATTGTTGAGAGGTTGGTAAGAGAGGAGCCATATGTCAAGCTGAATAGAACGTCACTATTGCGCAGCTGATAGCCTTGTGGATCTTCACGTGTCTTAACTGTAGTCGCTAGAAGTACTACGGAATGAGGTACACAGTTCTGATTGACGAGTTTGCTGCCACTTTTAGTCGGAATATCTAGTTCGTACTCATTTGTCACCCAGGATGGGTTTTAGACAAATTTATGTATGTACCAACTCCACTGAGGGAAATATTTCGCCGTCACCGAGAAAAAGTTATAGTGCAGATAAGTAGTTAGTGCGATCTGCGATAAATCTTTCCGAATTGGACCACCACTTTCCGACACTACTTCAAAACTGCTTGAGGCATGCAAGGTGCGCTGAACATTCTTCTCTGGATACATGAGGCTTTCTGTGATAGGTCTCCTTGAGCTTTTTGTGACATCGCTTCATCATGATTATTAGACCTTAGTGTTTATGACTGGTACGAATGCTGGCTACCGTGCTTACTGATAGCCTTGAACCAGGAATGAAGTAGTTGGAGGCAATGGGCATGCATGATAGCTGTCCTGCTCAACCTCTTGGAAACTATGGGCACAGGGAATAAATTTATTCATCACTTAATCAATGCGCATGTCTTAGCCGAAAAGCGATAACCGCCTCCATCATTCTGTCTCTCGACTGGTTCCATCGACAACCGAGCGAATTACTGGCCGAGGTCAACATAACACTTCAAATTATGCGACAAACACACACACACAGAGAATTGATGGCTAGCGCGTCATTTACTTGCCTTGCAGCCAAGAAATAACCCACCTTTCTGGACGGGCTGACTATAACAGCAATTGAATGGGGGAGAAAGATCCTCACATTTCTTCTTTGAACAAGCTAACCAATTCCCGAATAGCGCAATTATCGAATCTTTTGATCTGAGTTTCTGTGACAAGAGGCGGGCACAGTTACACACACACACACACGTACAAGGGACAAACGCAACAAACGATTGAATTAGCCTCTCCTTTACAGCTGGGTAAACAAATTTGCCCCGGAAAATGTTTGTGAGTCGGTTTGGGATATTTGGTTATCTTCGTCTCACAGACAAGCCGCGTCCTGTGTGACCGGTCATGCCTGAAGACTCAAGATTATGGGGCTGTTAAGAGCTCGACTGCCATTCCCTGAAGGAATATTGTATTTATTGTGAAATCAATTTGGCACACGATGGAGTGAAATGCCTCCTCAATCACGCCTCCCGCTATCTTCGTTTAGAACCTAAGTTACGTTGTGCTCACGACAGTCAAGCGCCATATCACGAGCTAGTGTGCTCGATCCTAAACGGACTTGGTCCGAACCGAAATGTGGTAACCATGGTGTCCCGGAATTCAATAGGATTTTCCGGTGACTAGTCTAAAGTTCTCCTCTGAACGACTATCCCTCCAGAGGTAGGAAATGTGTTTCCAACTATATTTGATTCCCTACGTTTAATCAACACAGTAAGGGAGGAAGATGCTCTTAATTATCCACGCATTTTTGCAATTGAAACATACGTCTTCCAGAACATTTGTCAAGGTTTGTTATTCACACAAACTTGTCAGTAAACAGTAGTCTCCTGGGTACAGGACAGGAGAGCAGGACTCGAACCACGGGCCTGCTTGTAAACAGTACTGTCTCCTGGGTACAGTTGTCGAAAAAACAGACACCGGAGCAGGACTCGAACCACGGGCCTGCTTGTCGGACAAGTACTGTATCGGCAGGGTTACCACGGATGCTGTCCCACACAGACCGGACTGACTCGCTCCACCTCTACTAAACAGATCACCAACAGAGAACGGTCAGTCTCATCTTCAACAAATCAAAAACAATTCAAACAAATTTTTGCTGTTAAACAACATACGGCACCAAAGTCTTTCTCGCAGATGGTCTCACAAAGTAGGTATCCCCCAATATGATATACCCCCTGCCGTCAGGTGATCTCTGTTCAAAACACCAAATTCACTGTCGTTGACCGCCAAGGGCCACGGAGACGACAATGCATTTAAAGCACCCAATGTTGATTGGATCACTCCGGGAGCACCATCCGTAGTCGCCGTCACCCAGTGTCCAATATGTAGACTTGTTAGATGTTGAATATATGCTAGGCCGGTGATTTTTAGCGTGAGCCAAAGGTATTAATCGAGGTTTTTATGAGCACTTTAAGGAGAGTGAACGTAATTAACACTCGAAATTCTGGTTAACTTCACTGACAAGAACAAAAAAATAACTCATTGAAAGATGGTGAATCAATGCTGAGAGTCCCGGGTCACGCAAGGCTCCCTTCGTCGACTCTCTAAGGGTTGAGGTTGATGGGGAATTTGGTAGGTGAAACAAGATTCAGAAATCCCGAAGTTATTTTATGGTAAAGTGGCACGAGCTGTTCGGAAATCTCGTAGAACATAGCTTACCGGAAAAAGGCGGAGGATGACCACTTTATGCTCAGAAATAAATACTGCGAACAACAATCAATATGCGAGCTAATGATGTCGCGAGACGGGACGCAAGGCTTATGCACAGATAAATCATTTCCGTCCCTCCAATTTGGTTTATGGTGCAAAAAAAGGATGAACCATGCGGACGCCTGCTTAGGCACCAATCATATAACGCGAAATTTCCTAGAGCAGCGAGACAGCATCAGTGAAAGGGCAGAGCAATCTGAATGACTATTGACAAGTGGATAAGTAGTAGTCTGTCAGAGTTGTCAAATAAACCCAGGTGACCGGAACTAGGACCACATGGAGCAATAGCAAGACATTTCACATCAAAGGCTCGCACAGAAGCTGTGACACCTTTCGGTGCGCAGTTACTGTGTATCCCTTAAGGATCAATAAAGCTAAAATGCTGTGAGAATCCTCTGACAGACGGCGTTAATCTAAGTTTAAGGGGTGGGTTCGAATTGCAAGCCCGAGGCAATAGATTCAGACTTTACAACAGAGACAGAGGAACTTGTGGAGTAAGGAAAGTCCAGACATGTGCATCGAGCCACAAATGGATCATCTAATCAGCCAGTTTGGAAATGTGAAAACAGGACACTAGAGATATTTGACAAGCTGACACTATCTATTGCTCTGCAGTGAGATTTCCACACGAAAATGCAACTCAAGCGTGACAAATACGCACATCAGGGAAGTTGCTCCGGCACTGCTGGGTTCAGACTATTTTCTTCACCAGTGGGTGACAAATACGCACATCAAGGAAGTTGCTCCGGCACTGCCGGGTTCAGAGACAAAACAATCAAACGCATTATCAAAACCATGACAGCATTTGTAAACACCCTCACCATCTGTGGCACCGAGAAATCCGTTTGACTGTGAAAATACGTGCTTCTATACGGAGAACTGGGGTTAAAGATAATGGTAGGCTGTGTTCACCGATTTCTGCAGAACATCAGCCATGTGAGTGACCGTGCTCGGTAAAAGAAGAAATTCGTCCCGTATAAATGCGATTCTCCTGCGGAACCAATTACGATAGCTTTGACGCACAGTGTATAGTAAATATACTTTGACATCGACCACGCCGACGGTTTACATTCGAGGATACAGGATCCGATTGGAAACAAAAACCCAGGAACCGATGGCTGGCATGAAGTAAACGAATTAGGGTACGGACAGCTAAGCTACAGGTCCATCAACGTTTCATGGTTGGCAAGACCATACATGGGTAAGTGCGCCTTCTGTTACCACTCACAACCAAGGCCGATAACGTACTGTTCACAAGTCTAATCATCCATATTATTCAATTGTCTCCTCTTCATTGTTATTTCATGTATTGTAATAAAAAGCCGATTGGAAAGTGCACAGGGCAGACGGTACTCGATCCGTTGATAGGATTGCTCAGGTGGTAGGAAACTCTCCCTCCCCTAAGATTCACGCGATCTAGGATATTCATCGTAATGAGCAGCGCATTTCTCAGATTAATGTTTGGCTGTTGAAGCAGTGAACAGAAGCGTTCAGTCCCGATCATGAACACAAATCCAATCAAAATACTTTATATACAATTAAGCACGGTACTGTACAAAATCTGGCTCATCACCGCCCAGGAAATATCACCATCAGCCAAAAATACGGCGCAAGTAACCTCGCATTGAGGAGTAGAAGAATAGTGGTCAGAGCGGCACCAAATGAAGTTGACCGATCACGCGCGCCAGCTGAAACAGACGGAAGCATTAGGAGAAATTGTTGGACTGGAGATTTCAAGAATAAAAACTTTAAGACAGACGTCTCAAAGCCAAACAAAGAAAAATTACAGAGGAGAAGCAAAAGTCCAGGCTACCGATGTTATCATAAGGCAACAGAAGGTCGCTTTATAAGACCGGCCCCACATAACGAGCTCTAATATACAAGAATAAAGAAAAATGGGCGAAAATCTTGGACTTAAAACGGAAAAAAAGGAAAATTATTTTCCTGGAACATTATTTCACACAGCGTGGTAGGAAGTATGCACTACACTTGGTTGGTACAAGCCAAACGCTCATGAAGGTGCGACGCGAACGACATCTTAGAAGAAGTAAACAGGAAGAATAAGAGTAATCAGAGCAATTACCCGGAGCATGCACAACTTGAGGAAAGGTGCTTCTAGAGCGGCTTAGGTTGTATGGTAGAAGAGGGAAAACTCCCACGTTATCACGGATGAAATGCATGGGTATAGTGAACAATGGACGAGACGACGTGTATGGGAGGTATTATGTCCCCATACATAATGCTTACTTCGCTGAGACCACTTCCTAGGGTGCTGTTTGCGGAGAGGTGCCAGGTGAGGCGTGTACTTTTAGGTGCACGGATACTTTCTTAGAGTAAAGTCATTCCTCACGGAACGTATGTGAACTTCCTAGAGATATAATGGATTTCAAAGAAAACTGACGGGGATTATTTGATGTGGCCTTTCCTGAGGAGTGGCCCTTTAAGGGGGATGACTGTCATTGCAATTCTGTATTACTGAAAACCCGCTAGTAGAACGATATTGCCCGGAGATATGGGTGTTGTGTCATTGGATGAGGGCGCGCCGGTTAAGGAAGCCAAGTATCACAATAGACAGGAGTAAACAATAACTCGATCAAGGGTTTCACAGATTTGCTGATAAACCCCCAGTTAATTCACATCCGGAATGTGTAAAATAAACTCACATTTTCAAAACCCGATCTTTTCCACCGGAAGCAACACGTTGCCCATCAGGACTCCAGTCCAATGCATACACAGCATCCGCATGACCCGGTAGGTCATACAGTAGATGTCGTTTGCGCTGATGAACCACTTTATCTCCTGTTCTATCTTTTCCAGCCACATCGGAGGCAAATATTTGATTCTTTCGTTCCTTTTTCGTCACAGTACTAGCTTCTTGATTCCAACGACGGACCTCTGCGACGCACCACAATTTGAGTGTGGAATCCCGCGAACAGGAAACCAACAGGCGGCTGTCACTTGACCATGTGACCAAGTACACCTCTTGGACGTGACCAAATAATGTGGCTAAAAACCTAATGAGAAAAAAGTGGTACAAAGAAATCGGTTGACTAAGATATGTGCGAATTTGGCGATTTAATACGCTTAATCGAGCTATTGACTTATTCCAGCTTCAAAGTCAGCTGACTTCTCGAGAAATTGCAATAAAAGTCGTTTGTTCAACTCACTGGCCATTGAATCCGTCCCATATTTTGACCGAATGATCAAAACTGGCACTGGCAATCAGCCGCGCGTCAGGAGAGAATTTCACATCGTTCACAACACCCTGATGCCCAGTCATCCGTGGTGCCAGTGGTTTTTTGTCCCTCTCTGGTTGCCACAAAGATAAAGTGTTGTCGTCTGAACCAGCCACCAAGCGCTCTGGACCTGAACCCTGAAGACGAGGGCGAACAGAGGCCAATGCTGAGTCAGATTCAAAAACAAATAGAGCACTAACACGACAATGTGACACAACTTATGTGAGGGTTACCGAGCCACGGATTCGAGACCAAGCGTACTAATGAAGTATGGTCGCCTCATAACACGCGTAGTTATTTGTACGACTTTATACCCCGAACCGTGGACATCTTCGACAAATCGTTAAGTCAGCGCGCAGTTACTTCAAATAAGGAAGTTTCAGAGAAATAATCTCTGTTATCGCCATGTTCAATTCAGATGAATTGCATTTTTAGAATTTCTCTGCATAATGCAAACCAACATAGATTAGATTTGACCTCGTTGAGATTAAAATAGTCTTGAAATGGACGTGCTTAAGGGTGCGCTTGATATGAGACTAGCATTGAGGCAGTTGTACTTCAAAGACGAGAAGAACGTCAGTCAGTGAGCCTGTCAACTATATTTTCGTAAGGGATACTACTCACAAGATTGCGGAAAAATCTCCGACAGCCCATAATCGGTTTCACAATTCTTTGGGGCTCATCAAGTGGGCGCAGTCCCGAGTTTCCATCAACCGTATGTACTGCGTTATCTCGAATATAGTGCCAACTGAAACATGAGGCGGCCTTTGTGCAACACATTCAGTTGAAGAATATGATAAACAAGAGATTCGGTCGAGTCTTCCGTGAAAACCAAATTAATTTGCAAATGAGTGTATCTGTCGAAGCCTGATAACTGATTTGTCAAACAGACAAGTGGGTACTGTGTAGTTAAGTAATTCGGTATGGTCCTCGGAGGTCATAAGATAGCCCAGTTTTTGGGGTCATCGAAATTTTGTTTTGACTGGAAACTACAACAAGAAAGTTTAAAACATCCTCGGCGAGCTCCCTCACCATGCTTGGTTGCATAAAGCCGGCTTCTCCAGAAATGAAGGTTAATTACCGAAGTGGCAGATAGAAATAGTCTAAGAGTGTCTTACCTAGTGAACAAACGGCGATGATGGCCTTGCAACCTATCCTCTGGCATTCCCAATTAAGTTTAGTATAACGAGGCACACTACTGCCCACATTCCCTCCAGGGTAATAAGTACTCATACAGTGGTATACTTCATTCCACACCTCATAGCCCGGGTCGACGAGGGAAGTATGCGGTCTGGTACTACGAGAAGGCTGTTGTTCCACCGATAGATCGGAAAAGTATACAAAACCAGTGGAGTATAAACTTTTCGTGGTGAAGGCGCTGAGGAGTATTACTTGGTCAATTATTTCTACAAACAGCTGGTGCAACACATTTTTAGGATACACTGCTCCTTTGGAGGTCTCACATGAAAATCGCGCCGTACTACTTTGCTGCAACGGTTGTAGATCGAACACGATGATTTGTTACCTTGCGCGGTGAGAGGAAATTAGTTTATCTTGAGAGTGCTTATTATGAGGACTCCTACACATCCATGTCACTCAAAGCTAAAAGTGAGTTATCGTAGTGTGGAAGCTTGTCGAGGGAAATTCCAGGCGTAAGTCTGAGGGTCAACAGCTGCGGACTTTCTCCATCTCAGTATTTGCAGAAAGCAAAGGCACAAAGACCGGTATTCCCGTTTTAGTCGATCCCAGTCAATGTTGGCAACACAACGGTATCTATCAAATGGATGCATGAACAGAATATCCAGGGAGAAAAGCTTACCAATTTAGTTGTTCTGTTTGATTCAAACATACCTCCCAGTTTTCGAGAATGTGAAGCTGCACCTATGTGAGCAGTGATAACGCCACTCTCAAACTGGCACTGCAAACTGTTATCCAAACGATTGGTTCGTCTGATTGTACCTCGTGAGCTCTAATAAGGGCGGTATTTGAGATCGGCCTAGGATCCGACTATCCTGCAACGGTTTTCTGACAGCACAAAAAGTGTGAGACTTTGACGCAACCCTGGGTAGCGTCGAGCATATAATTACCCAACGACGGATCCTTTGAGATTCAACATTGCAACTGTTTTGGCTCCACGCTACGCAGTCAAGGAATGACCTGGAATTCAGCCACACCCAAACAATCGGATTGCACATCTCGAAGGCTCAGATAGTGTCAGGTTGCCCAAACCTAGGCAGGAACATCATCATAATCATCCGCTGTAAGAAACGCCTACTTGTCGTATGGTGATTATAGCTGACAGTTTAGTTCACCGATAATTTATGAAGGTACGTATGTAGCAGGCGGTAACTGATATAACTGCTACGTAAATATAGGGGCATCAGGGGACTTTTCATTGGGGAAATTGGAGGAGAGCTATGCACTGAAAGAAAAAGCTTGGATGCACGAGCGCCATTGAGGACGCGACTGAGCCACGTCTGACAACATCTCTAACCATTGATAAGTCCCGTCTCCAGGTCTCTATCCAGGGAGACGGCAATGATCAGTGTGGCTGAGTTTGTGGTTGCCAAGTCATCGCTTGACTTCCCCTGGCTCGATTACGCCCTTCATGTGGTTGTGTGAAAACAGCCCTTCGGGGAAGACGGAACACAGAGCTAAGCCAGCTCAACCTATGGAGTGTGATAAGTTTATTTTCTCTAAAAACCGTCCAGTGTGCTTCAGCATTACTGATCTGTTGTTCTCAACAGACCTGGGCAATGGTCCGAAGATATCGACGGTCAAACGCTGAAAGTCTTTTGACGTCCCCGTTGCGCAGCGGACAGGTTTCTGGCCCGTGTAGCAATATTGAGCGCGCCGCAGCATTCACAACTCGACCCTTGACCGATAAGCTGAAGCAACGCCTACGCAGCAGGTAATGCAAAGTCGCGAAAGTTGCTCTGGCGTCCCCAGTCCGGATGGAAATATCATCTTTCACGAGGCCACCGGGACCGGTACAGCTACCCAGGTGGACAAATTCGTCTACTACATCAATCGGCTCATCCGCTAGCATGAGGCTAGAGTTCGAGCCAACCCGGTCTTGCAGCAACACTTAGCACATGTGAAGCGTCGACAAGACCGTGAGGTGGAATTATTTAGATTGTGTAATATTCTTTGCATTCATGTCGTCCGCGTACTCGATATCTGTGAGCGAATGCTCCAGGAGAACTTCGACCCCACAGGCTGATATAGAGTCTTCCATAATCGTATCAATGGCGAAGTTGAAGAGGAAATGTAGAAGACGACAGCCTTGCCCGACACCACTTGATGTGATGAACTCAGACGAGTTTGCCGACGACCTTCACACGTCCGTGGGAGTTGGCGTACAGCACTATTAGGAGGGTCAATAATTTATTGGGGGCCACCTTTGTTCCACGGACACTACCATAGTAGTCAACAGAGTCAAAGGCAGCTTTCAAGTCAAGAAAGGCAGTGTTGGCGCTGCAGGTAGTATCGCCGTTCCACAATCTGTTGGGAATCTGTGTGAAAATGTGACCGATGTATCCTCCTGAAGGACGGGACCTAGCGTGGTTTTCGCGGAGCTGTCTCTACCTTTGTTCGGTCAACCGGCAAAGGATAAGACCAGAGAGGATCTTCCAGGCTGCAGCTACCAGGCTGATGCCACGGTGGCTTTCACACAGCGTGCGCGTATCTCTTTTGAAGATGGGAATAACTTTCGACGTGTCCCATTCTGCAGGCACTTTCGCTTCACTCCATATCACACCAATGAGCATGAAAAATAGAGATGAAGAGGTTGGCTTCGAACTATGGACCTTCCAGCATTAAAAACTGAGCTATCTCGGGCTCCAAAAAATTCAAGTTGCATGAAGATCCCACGGAGCAACGTTAAATCAGATTGTTCACAAGGGTTCGCGCATCAAAGTAGACTAGTTGATCAGATATTGTGAACATTGAACATTCCGGGTAAGTTGGAGACTTCTACCGTTTGTCTCCTGATAATTCGATTACCTAAAGGTTCAGCAAGGGCACCTTCGATCGCTCGGTTACGTGGTCAAAATACTTTGAATCAAACACGTGCTAGCTTTTACTACACCGGAAGGCAACTCAACCGTCACAGAGAGAGACTGAAGGCCCATATCGGTACCGGAGCGTTTAGGTCTCAACACAATGTATAGGAGCCGTTTCTGTGCGGCTATTGTCTCTAACCCGCGTCTGCGGCTAACGTTTCTTAGGAATAAAAGCCCGTAAACTTACCTCACAACAAATACCTGATATGTAAATATTTCAAACAAATGACGACAAGTACATATGGACTTACCTTCACCTTTAGATAGAGTTCTTGAGCATTCTTCCGCATTTGTTCTCCTTTAAAGCAAGAGGAGGAGTTAGACACGAACATTCGAGAACAGACAAACCACAGTCCTGAAGACAAACTCACTTTTTGTTGTTTCAGATTTCTTTGGAGGTTGGGATTTGATGAGTTCTGCGTGAGCTGGGTCAAATGCGCCTGTCCGCAGAACGTAGTCTGTGCTCAAGGCCAGACAGTTGACCCAATGTCCATGCAAAGTCAATGTTCTACACAGAACACCATCATCAGGTCGCCATACCCGAATGGTTCGATCTTGACTGGCGGTGTAGAGTAGATCTGAACCTCCCCACCTTACAGAAACCACTGGCTTTTCATGACCGTGCAAACTGATCAGAGATTGCCCTGTCCACGTATCCCACACGACCACAGAACAATCCTGATAGGACACGACCAGTTTGCGGCAATCTTGGTCACTGGAAGGTAAACCGAGAAAACCTTCCTCACGTACCAACAGGTTATGCGCTTTCTTACAGCAGGGAAGTGGTGAAAATTTGTCGAAGAATTGAATGGTCAAAAATGGACAAGTCGTTGACGAATGAGTGCACATGGTAGCGAATATTGCCTTGGCGTGCAAGGTGCTATGGGTATTAGTTGGCCTCCCATCGAAATGGTCCCAAGAGATCCACTATTAATTTAGTCCCTATTTGTCAGGTCGAAAGGATTTTTCATTAAATTGGAGAGCGAAAGAGAGTATTCAGCTTTTCAACTGGGTTAATAGATAATCGGTTATCCGGCTAAGGGAGTGTGCTAAATCCCGACTTCAAACTATACATGAATAGTAGACGACGGATAGGTCTGCAAACTGGATCTCTGATAGTCTGGTTTCTTGTACATGCGAAGTTCTGTCGTGAAATAGAAACACATGGCAAAAGTTTTGACAAGATATATACCGAGGCGTCCTAAAATTCTCCGTCCGGAGGAGAAACAGACCGTTTCCCTTCGGCTCGGAGCAGTTTTATCACCTGAAAAAATCACATCGGCTTACGTTAAGACTTCTGAGCCACCTCAATCCGAGGTGAGGTGTCGATATTGTGTGTAGTGTTGTGTTGTAGTGTCAATTCGTGACAATCCCTTGCCTAATGGATGTCAGAGCTCCATTCTTTCTTCTACGTCGCCCCTTTTATGGTACCCCTGAGGACGGGGTACCCTACATATTCTCGAGTCCGTATGTCAACATCTGGAAGATTAACATAGGACTAAGCCTATGGGATAAACGAACAAACCAGTGTGCTGCTTGGGACTAAGGCTATCCACCTACCGCTGGACCTGCACCAAGCATGAGAGCAAAGAGCGGGGTGCAGCTCACAAATATTGTGAGTTACTCATTGGTTTAGAAACTCGAGGTATCGGATCCATGGTTTATTGTTGACACCTGACGAAAATAGCAGAAGGAAAGCAAAAAATGATTCACTGACAGAAATGGCGGCCTCACACACCGCTTCGAATACGAAAATAATTGCTGCCTATTACAAGAGATCACACTGAAAGCCGCATAAGCACGGCATCACTGAATGAATAACAAAAACAAGGTGATATCGGGAACAATCAGAAACTTACAGATGGAGAGGTCGCCATGCCAAAGAGCGTATCCATCGACCTTTGGAAGATGCCGCATTAGCCGTCAAGACGGGTCGAACTAGAGGTTTCCCGGTAGAAAGAGACCACAAACCACCAACATCAGACTCCTCCCACAAGCAAACTACGCCACCTTGACATCCGGACGCAAGGCGAAGTCCGTCCGGAGACCAAGCCAAACAAATGACCGGAGCGTGGTGAGCATCTGTGCCCGTCGTGCCAGGTAACTCGGTATTCAAGTCCCAGAAACGGACGGTATGGTCCCCAGAGCCAGTTGCCAAAGTTCTGTCAGAAAAACGCAATCAGCGAAGCAAGTAAGTGAGCAAAAAGAACATGTACGGACACAAAGTGAAGTCCTTGTCAATCTAAAACGTCTATCTCAGGCTCACGGAAGGGCTGTGAGCCTCAGTTCGCTGAATCGTTTGGAAAGCGGGGGACAACAAATCCGCCGTTCAGTGGGACATTCACCTTCGGTTCGAAAACTTCGATAGGAAAACTGTGAACAGTTGAGGTTAGGAACTATGAAACAATGTCAGGAAATTCTACTTTCCAGGGATGCTAAATTGTTTATGCGACGAAGTGTTTCCCGGTGCACGTATAACAAAACCTGTTCTCTGGGAACATTTTCAGCCATTTTATCAGGTCTTGGAAAATTGTCATCACAGTTAGTGCTCCAGATACTAAGTATGATTACGCGTATGTAATTAAGACAAACTCCAGTTCAGTAACGCCATGAGGTTGTATGATGATCATCACTTCGCCATTTGATTCAGACATTGTCAAAGGCATCAGGTTTGGATAAGACACCGTCACCGGGACTAACACAACATCACCAGCGAAACTCCTCAACCCAGGCCTAAGAAACAACGACAGACAAGCGTTAGCTAGGCGGTGCTGATGAGCGTTGACAGCAAGTTTACCATTGGGATAGGCTGTAACCCATATCCTTTAGAATTTCCAAACAGACGGACGGAGAATGACGTGGACCCTAACCAGGAACGCGTGAAGAACGGACGGCACTCAACCTGATAGTAGGTGGGTTTATTTCACGCTACTAAGCCATAACATATCCTCAGCCAGCCTTTCGCCAACAAAGGCTGGATGAAGGACATGGGTACAGAGGCAGAGGGCGAATAAAAATGTCGTCGGGAATATTCATTCTGACGCTAACTCTTGTTGTGTAGTAAATTTTCAACCTTATATTTTAGGACCTCACTAGCAACCGCCTTTTAGTACCGCTGTTGGTATGAGATAGAACGGTCTCCGAAAGTTTTCATTTGTTGTGTAGTAAATTTTCAACCATATATTTTAGGACCTCACTAGCAACCGCTTTTTTAGTCCCGCTGTTGGCATGAGATAGAACGGTCTCCGAAAGTTTTCACTTTCAATAGCCTCCTCATTTTCCAGAGCACTCCGATTCCACTAGGATTCCTTATTTGCATGCAGCAGCCTATGTTTGAGCAGCCCTATTGGATGGATCGCACACAAAGTCTGAAGAGATGCAACGCCCCTCGTAGATGAGCAAAAGTGACTGTCCTGATATTAACACTTACTCTGGAGGAGCGCTCGAATACATTACACGTCGTGTCCAGCCTTAAAGATGGTGGTGTCTGTCTTGTCCCAGTTATGACTGATACCCCCAGAGGTGCAGCTATTTAATGAGATTTTCCAACTTATTGACAAAAAATAGGAGGCTGCTTCTCAGGCCCTCCCTGTTATGTCAGTTATCTCAGTTGACGCGAGTATTCGATAAAAATCGACAGTCAAGTATGACATTAGCTGTCGATGACCATGTGATTAGTTGGGTTTAATTAGTGTTCACCAGTGGGAAGCGCCAAATGGTGCCACTGTATCTAGTGCGTCCAAACTTGGTACCACAGAAGAACGGTTGGTGATCAGCGCCAAGCTGCAAAACATGGCCACCATTATTCATACGCCTTCAGTACACCCTAGACACGCCATCCAGTCGCACCTCTAGTGAGTTGAGGTAACCTACTTGTGCGGTGGGATCTCAAGCGACCAGGACAATATGCAAGATTCTTGTGCTAAGTAGCAGAGTAGCTAGTTCCGGATAGACTTTTTTTCGCCGAACCAGCGCTACAATTAGTTGGTGCATACACGTGAGCCAATAAAGTGCAGCTTTTTCAAGAAATTGACAGGCAAACGGTACAAAAGTGGGTATTTGCGGGGATATTATCAAAGAAGCCTCAGCTCGAGATCTGAAAGCCATAAAAATATGGACGCAGGGGCGAAGTCAACTAAAGTTCATAGGCCAAAATGGAACATATTTAAGATATCACAAGCTCAATTTCGGGACTTGGATGCTGTAATCGTAGACACAGAAAAAGTCTGTTTGAAAATCCTCAAGAGTGCGGGCACAAGCAGCTCGTTGGCCGATTTATTCAGGCGCTGGCACATTAAAGAGCGCAGGGAAAATGGGAGAACGAAGACTGACAACCAGACATGAAATGGCAGATCTGAACGGTGGCATATCTCTAGGGGCAGTGTGCCTACAGCTGGAATTTGCACAGCATTGATCACTAGATGAGGCAAGAAAAAATAAGGGTATAGTGCTGGAAAAAGATTAAAAAACAACAGCCTGTTTTCGATTACCCTGTAGGTAACAGGTATAGTAGTGACAGAATGTGACCACCGACGTAGCATAAAGTTGATGAAATTGATACAGTTCATGGTTGTATGTGGGCTGATAAAATGTCTGGGGCACCGATGATCACAACCTGAGTTCGGTCTTGGCGTTCTAAGATGCACAACCACACGTGGGCCTTGTATGCGTGTTTCGGAGACACAGGATGCATCAATTTTAAGGGATTACAAGGTTTCAGCGAGCATAGCCTGTTTGGCAATTCGACATAGAGTACGGACGATGAAAGTGGCTATATAGAAATGATCTCGTGGATTTAGAAAGAAACCATTTTGCTTACTGTTAATAGGAAGCGGGAGGCGTAAAGCCCTTCGGTCTGACGGCTGACAATTAAATGACCCACCGACGTTTGTTTGTGAGGTGGGAAGGGGTTTGGGAGGGACATCAATGGACACAGAACTGTGCAGTTGCTCAGGCCGAAGAAGGTGGCTTGGTTGAGGTACCCCACCTCGAGCATTTGACTCACGAGGCAGTGGGGGGATGTAGGGTTGTGTTTGAGGACCCTGACCCTAGTCTCTGACTCAAAAGTGTGACCCGCGAGGCAGCGGACAGTATGGTTTTCGTTAAGGAACCCGCCCGGAGCCGATGATTCAATAGTATGACATGCTCAGCTGCAAGGGGTTGGCCCAACCCGAGGACGCAGGGAGTAAGGAATTATTGTCTCACTCCTGATGCGGCTGCACGAGCAAGTGTTTTTTAGCTCGTTGGTTTTGAAAGTAATTCGACCGTATTGAATAATGCGCCGACGTTCATGATCAACTGTTGGGCGATCGGAGTGAGTTTTCTAGTGAAGACCTTTTCTAACCGGTCCTTCCGTCACGAAGAGACTGGACCTTACCGTGGTGTGACGGTTTGCGCACCTCAGCGATCCATTGAGCTATACTGGAGAGTGTCCCGCGACACTCACAGAGTCTCTCATACCAGGTTGGTCAATGGTTAGAGGTCTGACGAACACAGTCTCCTGGCCATCCAGGTTGGGGGTTGGAACATGTCAGTCCTCCAACCATCATACTATATACCTGCGGGCGCGTTAAGGTCTGCTGGGAATACTCTCCCAACATGACCAAAAGTGGTGCCCTTCAGGCTTACTGTTTGTCACCTTTTCTCCATAACCTAATAGTGGATTAATTAAGTGAGAAACTTTTGTTGTCTTTCACCCTAATTTTGGACCTTCTTTCCTGGGAAGCCCTTAAATTCATTGAATATTTGGCCAATGTTGCGCTACTTCTTTCAGTTTCCATTCAGATAAGAAACACACCAAATAACCTAAGTGATGTTACCATGCGTTTCGAATTGCGTCTCTCACCCTCAAAGTACGAAGTGCTATTATACGACTGGGCGAGCGCGCCACTAAAACAGGCTATGGTGTCAGAACCAAGTTACTGTCTGATTTCGTTTCCCCATCCTGCTGCATTCGGGGATTAAGGCGACCCGGTCGATGGCATGATTTCTTCTTCCAGGATGGGGACCGCGTGATCCTCGCTGTGCCTGGTTGGAGACACTACAAGATATGGCTGGCACCCGATGTCAGTGGCGTTCTTGTTGTCAGTTTCTGTCCAGATTGCCTGAGTGAATTTCTGGAGGTGTAGGCACCTCGGAATGATTGTGTTAAGCTAGCACTAAGTCCCTCCCCCATCCACCTTTATTCTTTTCTTTACAATAAGGCTTTCAAATAAGTCATGGCTGTACGGCAGTGAAGCATTGGTGTTGAGCACTGATGTCATGCTGTCGTTGATGATGATGACTTCCTCGGGGGAAGACGGCATCGCTGCTGACCGCCTGAGCGAAACACCCTGCTGCCTTCACACTCCTATCGCAGGGGACAGTACGACTTTACCCCCAGACAACCTCGTAGTACGGTTACTCGTAGTAGGGGGTCTCGCTGTTCTTGGTCTGACTGCTTCCCTTTGGTCTTCCTGGCATGGTTTTATCCTATACAATGAAGTCAGTGTAGTCAGTGTAGCCCGAGGGATCATCGCAACACTCAAGGCCGACCAGCACGCCGAGGTTGTAGCTTTAGGTCGGATAGTCAAATAGAAAGATGATTAAAGCCCTCAACCAAGGCATCGTGTAAGCCACGACATGGAATTGCTAATGTGAAGCCCACAGGCAAACCAAATGAATTACCCCTAAGAACGTTAATTAACAGGAATATCCAGTGAGGCTGGTCTGTACCAGCCTACCTGGGAAAAGGCATTCGGATGAATATTTGCTACCCACTGACGCTTAGGAGTGCGCGGAGGCGTCTCATTAGGGTTTGATTAAGTGCTAAATGCCAATACTCCAAATAATCAGTAGTCGTACAAGCCCCGACGCTGGTGTGATGGACAGATTCAACAAAAGAATCTCGAAAACGGTATACGTATTTGCGAAATGCCACACCGAAACGCTGGTGTATATCAGAATACGGTGTGAATGATACATGTGTTCCTCGCAGGCGCGAAATACTGCAATGAAATGATAACAGTGATAACCTTGGGGTCAGATTCTACGCATATTAAGTGTTTGGGGGTGAAGGCACCTCAAGTGCCTGTAGTATGCCATTATCCACGCTCAATGAAGCCCAGTAAAGTTGAACACCAACATCTATCACTTCGCCTACTACGTTCAAAGCGCCTGCATTCCTGCTTGACCGAACGTTCTCAGCTGCGTCTTATAGACCCATATCGTAAGTAGCTGTAGTCAAGCAGTTTTGGCGCAGAAACATATCGCTATTTCACGCGAGTTCTATTTTTTCTTTATTTGTCGTGATCGTGGTCGTTTCCATAACAATGTTGGTAATGGATAGTAGACTACACAGATGGTAGGTAGCCCGGAGGGTGGTCACTGTATTCATGAGTAAACGATGCAAAGACCTTTCCAGTCCAACTAAAACAACAGAACAAAACAAAACAAAACAAAAATTACATAAAAAGATAGAAATTTCAGTGTCCAGAAGTGGAGCAGACACTGTTAGATGAATAACATCTGTTACCAGCAAATTATTGGGAAAAATTATCCACGTAAAATGACCTTCCTATAGCGACTCATACAAACCGGTATCTTCAAGGAAGCACAGCAAAGTGTAATACCCGACAGCACCGGCAGATAACGGACAAGAGCAAGTATGTCCAATGAATAACTCACCTAGCATCAGGTGAAAACAAGGCAACTAGAATGGCCCCCTTGTGTCCTGGTACTGTACTTGTACAACGAGTGACCGGCCGGACACGAAAAATGGCCTGTGCCTGATAGATCACGTGGACTACTCCCTCCAAACCCGTTGGGCCAAATTCAGACCGCTGTGTGTCACTAGCCTTGGCGCGCGCTTGTGTCAATGCTGTCCGCAAGTCATCGAGAATTTGCGTTTCACCAACGTAGAAGTCGTAGACAGAAGGAAGCTCTTCATTCTAGATAACAAGCCAACAGAAAAAGGAACACTCTCCTAAGGTGATGAAATACTATGCGGCCACAATGATCACATCTGAAAAGTTATTTGGCAAATCCATCTCGATCAGATCCACTTTCAGGAGCAACTCCCGCTTACCTTACATACGAGCTCATTCAATAAATTTGTAAGCTTTTCCGGATTGATACTCAGAGGCAACCATATTGGACTTCCTGTTTCATTGCCATCGCTATCGGTTAGTTGCACAAAAGCGGACTCCTCTTTCGGTGACTGTTCTGACGGAAGCAACTCGGTTTCAGAGGGTAGAAGATGATCTAAAGCATCATCACATTGTGGATTATCGAAAGATTTCGACAAGACACAATCCATTCCGGCTGAAAAAATAGAAATTTAAAATGTGCATCGGAGTAAGGAACCCAAAAAACTGAACGAAACTGTCCTATGACGGCATCCTTTCAGTACACACCTATTTGTCATGGCATGATACTGGCATTTTGTTATGGTTTCGCTGCTGCATGCTACTCCGTTTCCCAAGAAACAGCAATATAAGAGGAACAGGCTGATAGCAGTAAAATAAAGAGAATGCTCTTGTACTGAAAAAGACCACATCAGAAGGTCTGGGGTTAAAGCAGTACTGTCAACAGAGATCGGAGTGCGAAAATAATAATGTCTTTACATTAGTCGCTCAGCTGTAGCACCCTTTCGGTGCCTAGCTGCCATGCCACACGAAGGAGGCACTATTCTCTTCCCAGAACGCTATTTTCGTGCTTCTTAGTCTAGGAGAACTGGCTGGTACATATGGACGTCGTTTCAAGTGACGTCGTGGGGTTAAAGTGCATCTCCTTCGCTTCATGTAATACACACAAAGACAATGACCTATCGTTGTGACAGCGATTTAAAAAAAATCGTTCAGCTGTAACACCCTCCCGGTGCCTAGCTACCATGCCACTCAAAGGAAGCAGGAGGGCTGGGATACTGTCAGGTCGCCCAAGCCTAGACAGGGGAAGTCGAGTGGCAGAGGTCGGGTTCGAACCACGGACCTTCCGGTCGGTAAATTCGCGCTCCAACCACTTGGCTCATCTCGCCTTTACCTTAGGTAACCTACTTTTCCTCTAAGAGGGGACGAGTTGGAAAAGTTCGACCCTGAAAACCCCACAAACTAGCCGAGCGGCGTGTTTGCCCTTGTACGGGCTTAATCTCCTCCCGGAACACCATTCGTTGTGGTCCTTTATCGAGATCAGGGGTCACACTATGTTTAGCATAAAATTGCGTCCAACTGGCCGATTCACTCAGTTTGTCCGTTTTGATGCAGATTCATAGTCTATCCTAGCCGCTGTCCGATGGATGCTCTGATGTTGCACATTCAATCGTTTGCTGAGCTGCATTCCATCATATAACCCAAGTAAGCTCAACATGTTGGCTACTTGACTGTCAGTGGTTACAAATGCATATCAGAGTGTAGAACCAACGTACTAACTATCCAGACCCTCCGACCTCTTCATGCACTCACGAAAAGCGAAATTCGCTGAACAGTCGTAAAGGAGAGCATGGTCAAAGTTACAGCTGGAACTAATCATAAACCAAGTACATCAAACACTAAGTGTTCCTAGAGCTATTAAAACTGCGAAAGCTGTCGAGACGGTATCGTCGTGAGTACATTTTTTATTGCAGTATTCTCACACTTAGCCGGCCATCTCCCAATTTGCATCCTAGTTCATATTCAAACTTTTAGTTCAATTCATCCGCTATAAACCGTGTGTCATAAACGCAATTATTCCAGCTGCTACAGTTTCGATCACCGGAAAGTGACAGAGCGTGGGACACAGCCAGGACTTTGAGTCAATGACATGTTCGGTTAGTTCGGTTAGTGGGTAGCTACGCAGTGAATGCGATTGCCTTGATGCATGAGGACCACTGACTGCGTGAATGGGCCTTTTCTGCCAGTGACGACAGTCATTAATAAGTTGGGTTTCCCCTCAGGCAGGCATCGATTGTCGACCCGACTCAGTTTAGTGGTTTGGTTATCCGTACTCCGTTGATAGTCCACCTCTCGGACGCTTCTGGTTAGCAAAGGGCTGGGCAACAAGAGCTCTGCGCGGCAGATGGTCTTCTGACATGCGGATTACATGTCCTAACCAGCCTTACCTATGAAGTGTGAGTAATTCATCCATGACGGGAGAGTTCCTTCTTCCTAAGACCATCTGGCGTACCTCAGCATAACTGATCCGATGTCCCCACCAGACCAGACCAATGCTTCGGGGACACCGATAGTCAAACACCGACATCTTTCGTACATCCTCTGCGCATAAATGCCACGTGCTGATCCA